TGGAGAGGCAGACTGAGGAGTGAGTGGAAAACAGGACCAGATACACAGAAACAGAAACCACACAAAGAGCAGAGGCTTAGGCAGATGGGGGGGCAGCGGGGGCCGCTGACCGTGACATTAATAATAATAATGGAGGAGATTCTTTTAGTTTAGTTATAGCATTCTCTGATAAATCTCGACCGTAATGAAATTTACTTTCAGAGGCTGTGTAGTCAATGTTAACTCTAAGCTTATTAAACAACCTACAGAGAAAAGTGTTGTGAGAAAACACTAGTAAGATTTCAATTACTTTGTTGTAACTTAAAATTGATCAAGCGCATGACAAAGAGAATAAGTAGGTTTGTGGATATTTTGGGTTAACCCGGACAGAAAATACCAGACTCAGTCACAGACGTATAGAAAAAATGAGCAAAATCATTATGCAGTTATCTAAAGAATCCAAGCGTCAAGATATAGTCTGGTTTGTTGCATTGGCAATTTATCTCGATTTGGGATAAGATTGGAGCATCATACACGTATAAATAAAAAGTTGGAAATGTCGCAAAGAGACAGGAGTGGTTGAAATCCCCATGAATACTTTTGGTTGTTTTTTGTAAGCCTGGCATCAACGAAAAAAATATATTTTCTACAAAACCAGTTCAACATAGGCTGCATTCCAATTGACAAAATAGAAACCTAGCTTGCCAAACCTAAAACTACACTAATATAAAATGAGCACTATGACAGGTTGTTATAATGGTACCTTTTTACCTCCGACATGCAGACATGCAATGTTAGACTGAGGTCAGCAGAAGAAAGCTGCTCAGTCCATCATGCTGAAACTCCTGAAATCTCCAGTGTTGCTTTTAGAAACTTCAGGTGCCACAAACAAGGCTGCTTTGTGTTGTGTTTAATGTGTTACAGAGTATGTCTGGTACACTGTCATTAAGTAAGAACAGCATGCTCTGTAAAGCTTTAATATGTGAAACTGTTAATTGCTTATCTCTGTCCTCTGACCTTCAGGTAAATGGAAGAAACTTACTGTCTGTAGATTATGATCGTACGCTGCGAACAGAGAAAATCTATGATGACCACAGGAAGTTCCTGCTAAAAATCATCTATGACACTCAAGGCCATCCAGCTCTCTGGATCCCCAGCAGCAAGCTGCTCTCAGTTAACTTGACATATTCCAGGTGAGATCCTTTGAATTCCTTCATCGCACTACAGGAAACTGTGACACGGGCTAGTGGCACTCCGTCTTCAATGTTCATCATATTATTTAAAGATGAACATTTTGTTTAAGGTTGCAATTATGATCATTTTAAAATACGTAATTTCCGGACTATAAGCCGCTTCTTTTTCACACACTTTGAACCCCGCGGCTATACATTGCTGTGGCTAATTTGTGGATTTTTATTTATTTTTATGTTTTTGACGGGCTAACAAGCTTCATGCTGTCAAAACGTTCAGCCTCGTCACACCCGGGCGCTCACAGAGCTGCCCAATACACGCCCCTCTTGAGGGGCGGGTCCTCGTGACTCACTGACACTATCTGTTTAAAAAAAAATCTGACCAATGAAATTATCAAACAGGTCGCAGTCAAACCAATGAAACGGGAGGGGAGTGTGAATTGTGCAATAATGTGGCACTCCGAGCTCAATGGGAGGCTTGGAGAACTGGTGACAAGAAATTGTTTACTAGATCTGACTGGATCTCCAAAGAGCTCTACAGTGACTGGTCTGAATGACTATCTGCCGGTACCCTCACCCTGATAGTCGCTAAATGCTTTGAAAAACTGGTCATGACCCACATCAAAGCTAACATCAACCCTCATCAGTATGCATATCACAAGAATCGATCTACAGAGGACGCCATCTCCTCTGTGGTCCACACTGCTCTCAACCACCTGGAGCAGAAGGACTCCTACGACTGTATGATCTTTGTGGACGTCACGTCTGCCTTCAACACCATGATCCCCCAAACCCTGATGGACAAACTACTCACACCAGGACTAAGTCACTTTCTATGCAACTGGGTCCTAGACTTCTTAACCAACAGACCACAGTCTGTGAGGATCCACAACTTCTCCTCCTCCACCATAACCCTCAGCACTGGCTCTCCTCAGGGATGTGTGTTGAGCCCCCTCCTGTTTACTCTGCTCACGTATGATTGTGCAGCTACCCATCCAGGCTGTCACATTGTAAAGTTTGCATATGATACAGTGGTGGTGGGATGCATCACAAACAATGATGAGTCCAGCTACAGGCAAGAGGTGGAACACCTGGAGAGCTGGTGCAAAGAGAATAACCTTCACATCAATGTGAAGAAGACAAAGGAGATGATTGTGGACTTCAGAAGGAACAAAAACACCTACACCCCCCTGAACATAAGAGGATCTGCAGTGGAAGTGGTCTCCAGCTACAAGTACTTGGCTGTACACCTGAACAACAACCTCACCTGGAGCAACAACACCACCAGCCTGATGAAGAAAGCTCATCAGAGACTCTACTTCCTCAGGCGGCTGAGAGGAGCTGGTCTGGGAAGCTCAGTCCTCACCTCCTTCTACAGGTGTGCAGTGGAGAGCATCCTGTGCTCCAGCATCAACGTGTGGCATGGAGGCTGCACAGCTGCAGAAAGAAAAGCTTTGCAGAGAGTGGTGAAGGCTGCACAGAAGATGTTGGAGTCAGCCTCCCCACCATCACAGACATCTACACCTCCAGATGCAGGAAGAGGGCCACCTGCATCATGAAGGACCCCACTTACCCAGCACACACACTTTTTGCCCCACTCCCCTCAAGAAGGAGGTTGAGGAGCATTAAGTGTAGAGCCACTAGACTGAGGAACAGCTTCTACCCTGAGGCTGTTAGACTCATGAATCCCTAGTCAAGATAATCACTGTGAAAATTACTGTATTTTTTTTATCTTTTTTTGCCAGCGGTGTTACAGACACCGTTCAGGAAAAAAAACATTTCCTGTACGTATTTGTGTACGTTACATTACGTATTTAATTAAAAGTTTTTTTTAAGAGTGCTGTGTAGATTTGTCATGTTACAACGGTTAGACAAGCTCAGCCTACACATGTACAAATTTATTTTATTTATTTTTATTTAGTGGCTGTGGTCAATATTCAGGTGCACTCAATAGTCCAGAAATTACGGTAAATGTGTTGGGTATGGTGTCTATAAATAGGTCTGAGTCGAGTCTAAAAGTTAATTGCTGTGTGTATCCAGCACGGGTCAAGTGACAGGTCTCCAGAGGGGTCCAACCACAGAGAGGTGGGAGTACGACAACCAGGGAAGAATCATCTCCAGAGTGTTCGCTGATGGAAAGGTCTGGAGCTACACTTATCTGGACAAGGTAAAATTCAGTTCACTTTATTTACATAGCTCCAATACACAACAACCTTATGGGGCAATGTACAAAGAAGTAACAAGTCCAGTCAGATCGAGATGCAAATCAGTTCAGTCTATTACCTGGTGCAGTCAGATTCAGTAAACAAGAAAATCCTATCTGGTAAAAGTTATCTATAAAGGGAAATAAACTGTTACAAATCATCTCAGTGCAGTCCCTCATTCTGAGCACCACCAGAACCAGGTTCTGTCATGACTGACAAGGGTTAGAGGAACACAGGAAAGAGACGCAGACAACCAGCTTAATTAGTCTTAAGTGTATTAAAAAAAGAACGTTCAATACAAAAACAACTGGACTTTATTTGTAACAGAAGACGTTTCGCTCCTCATCCGAGGAGCTTTCTCAATCTTAAACGTCTTCTGTTACAAATAAAGTCCAGTTGTTTTTGTATTGAATGTTTTTTGAATTCATCATGTCCTGGATGACTGAGAATCTTCACCAGCATAGTCTTAAGTGTAGTTTCTATGGTCCAGGTGTACTTTGTATAGGAAGCAAGACAAAGAAAAGCATGTTAATAAATACAATATACAAATACAAACATGGAGCGTAGAGTAGTAAAGACAGCAACAGAATGAGGAAATTCAATTTTCAATTCAAGTCAGTTTATTTATAAAGCGCCACTTTACAGCAAAGTTGTCTCAGGGACTTTACAGGAACATTCACATAAAAGCCAATTAGTAAAGTTCTCTATCTAAGGAATCCAGCAGACAAGTTGAACCTTGGCTTCGTTGCAGTCTCCCATCCTGAGCAAGCACAGTGGAGACAGTGGAAAGAAAAACTCCCTTTTAACGGGAAGAAACCTCCAGCAGAACCAGCTCAGGACAAGAGACCATCTGCTTTGACCGGCTGGTTGAGAGGACAGGAAGGAGAGACAGACGAACACAGAATAGTAGGTCCAGGTATAGGTCCAGGTCCAGATATAGGTCCAGGTGTAGGTCCAGGTCCAGATATAGGTCCAGGTCCAGGTGTAGGTCCAGGTGTAGGTCCAGGTCCAGATATAGGTCCAGGTGTAGGTCCAGGTCCAGATATAGGTCCAGGTGTAGGTCCAGGTCCAGGTATAGGTCCAGGTCCAGATATAGGTCCAGGTCCAGATATAGGTCCAGGTCC